CAAACACCTCTCTGCGACCAGGAAAGGAGTTTTTTCAGTTCTTATTCTGCCAAGATAATGATCCACAGACATGACTGTCAGACCAATACTTCCAGTTATGCTCTAGAAAACAATAGCCTACATTCTTAGTTGGATTTCCCGTTTATCAATTTTTAGAAAGAGCCAAGTAGTAGAAATCAATTGATTTGTTTGCTCTTACCCCAGTAAGTGCCACCAAAGTCCCAGGTGTGAGCAGGGAACCTGTCTGTCAGGAAACCATTGCTGTGTATCACAAAAATAATTAGTGACTGAAATTAGCTGGTGTCTCTGCCTAAGCCTAACACTTACAAGCTGCTGGAAACAATCTGACTCTTTCACCTGTTTTTCCAGTGTCACCCAAAGAGCAGACAAGTTTCTCGGAGCAAAGTTCAAATATAGTATTTTTCCATGGAAAATCTGAGTTCAATGTTTGCTGCCTTCTCCCATGCCCGTGACCCCTTGTTCATTATTGCTCTGAGCCTTCTGGAGCAGCTCATGTCACTGAGCAGCCCTGCCACCCTCTCACCCCTCTGAGTGGCAGCACAGGAAAAAGTCTCAGTGCCCAGGAGCAGCTTTGATGCTGAACTGCACAGGGATTACCCAGGAGCAGTTTGGGGTTTCCTAAATTAGTGCCGTGAGTAATTCAATCGGGCTCAGGCAACAGAATGGATCCAATCCAAAATTCAATCCAACTCACTTCAGTAGCAAATTAAATCTAAATTTTGGATGCTTTTTGAGCCAGTCCTTCTAAAATAAATCCCATATATAGCAGGGGGAAAGCTAGGTGCCTTTGAGAGCCTCCTGAGGGACAGCCTAAATTGGGCAGGCACCATCTCCCTCTGGAGTAGCTTTTCTAGGCATTTATCTCTCCCTACTGAACATGGAGGGAATTTAGGCACTTAATTTAAGAAAACTAGTTCACTCTGTGCCCAAAACATAGGTGCTAATTATCTGCCCATGCCTGACTGGAAGCCCTCCCAATTTAGAGTCTAAATAATTTATCTTAAAGACTACCATTATGTTATGTCCTAGTAAAATTTTTAAAAAGAAACAAACTACCATGCTTTGTGCTCTGCTAACAGATCAAGATCAGGAATACAGTAAGAGGGAATATGAAGTGGAGTGGAAGGACCACACCTTATTACTGGTGAATGATCCTTGTTTTGCATATTTTGAAGCAGTGGGGCTGATACCACTTTTGACTCTCCCCGTATCTCTCCTAAAGCACCCAAAAGCCCCACTGATATGCTTTTTGGAATGAAAAATTACAGTAGCAGTACTGGAGTAAAAAAACAGCTTTTGCTGCTGTGCTGTTCCCCAAAGACTCATTTGAATTTAGGAGTATCTTATACTATGGATGAGTGTCTTCAGATGTGTTGGTAGTAGGAAATATCAGCCTCCACAGATTTCACATATCCCTCAATTAAAGGAGTGCGTGGGCTTCTTTAATTAAAGTGAATCTTATAGAGAGAATTTAAGTTCCTAGAGACATTATGAGAATTTATGGCACCCACTGGCTAAATTAGTACTGAGATACCTCCATTTTCCCAGGCTGAGTCTGCACCATTTGGCATGTGTACAGATATTGGGCACATAAATCTGGTGTGGGATTGGCTCCTGCCCCCAGTGCTGCTTCTCCAACACCCAGGGATGCTGGGTCACTTCCCTAATTTCACTTTGTTTCCCTCTTCTGCAACACAGAAAAGATAATATTCTTCAGCTCTGTGGTTGTGCCAGGCTTGATTAATGAATGATTTAAGGCATTCTGTGATTTTCAGTCTGAAAGGTGCTTCAGAACCATAAATTATTGGTTTAATATAGATCATAGTTTTCATCTCATAAATCTTTTATGTTCTACTCCAAATTCATGCCTGATATAACTCTAATAACTTGTTCAGTATTAAGCGAAGGATAAATTTTCTACAATATATGAGGCAGCAAAATGAAATTCCAACTGTGAGACCAAAGGCTTAACAAGTGGCATTTCTCAGAGAGTAATGTTAGAAACCTACCCCACTGCCCACTTCTCTACAGAAAAAGTATAATCTCATAGCATTCTAACTTGTTAAGTCTTAATTAATCATTAAATGTCAACTTCAAGCCAAAATAGTATTTTTCTAATATTTTCTATTGCTATACATACATAGTTTGTGTTGATTGAATTAGTGGCTGTGGTCATGTTTTTGCAATCTGTTTTGACAAAAATATTTGAGTTGAAAGCAGATTATTTTTCACAGGAACAAACCTTTCAATAAGACATTCCTACAGCTTTTAGTCCTTAGCCATGGGAGCACAGGACCCAGGACTAGGAGGGATCCACTGGGTCACAGTCACATCATAAACAGCAGTGTAGAAGGTTTGGCAAAAGCCATTTTAAATAGGTGGGCATTTTGTCCTCTTACAGTAAAAAATAAGTGTTCATATATCATACTATCACTGCTGTGATAGTTCAGTTCTTTTAATTCCCAGTCCAGATGTTCTCACGCCCAGTTTAGAACTCTGTTATAATAACTACAGTTCTACTCAATCTTCATTTTGTTAGCCTAAGAAAGTCAAACTCTTTTAGTCTTCCTCTAAAATGTAATAAATCTAATGAACACAATAAAGAAAATTCTAAGGATATGATAACCACCTTTGAAAAGGAAAAATAATTATCAGACCTCATACTTCAGTTAGACCTTGGTAAAATTCAGCTCTTTATTAAGTTTTATCTCCTTCCCCTCCATGACTCTGATTCTTAACATTATTTCTGGTCTTCCCAGAGTTTATCCTCTGACCTCTGCAGCAGGTTTGGGCAATAAACTGCCTTTCCAGCTGGTCTTCAGGTTTTCTATTCTTCACTGTCTGCAATAAGTGAGCTTGGGTACTTTGGTTCTCATAATCTTTCTTCATTTCATCCTTCCCCCAATCTTTCTTATCAAAGAAAATTTCCATGGAATGGAATGGGAAATTTGATAAGCACCTGAATCTTATGTGATAATGTACCCTACTGATAGTCTTACTCACATAGAAACACAGTATTTCCTATAAAGTTTTTATATTTTCAATGATTCCTAGAGAACCCATTCTTTTTCCCCTCCTGTCCCTCTCCAAATGGTCTGGGACTTTTCTTTATGCCGTGTAAATGGAAAAAGAAAAATATATACAAGCAGCTTTTGCTGATATTGGGATAAAATTTTAAAATACTAAAGTAGTTTGGAAAAGACTCAACTCTGAACTTAAGTCATCCACATGTTTTTCAAAATAGTCATGAGTAAGGATTGTCACCAAATCATAGAAAGAAAATATATGTCTGCTTAATTCCTAAATATAATCATTATGTAACTTTGTAGACTAGGGTATAATGGAAATCAAAGGTGTGCAGTTGATATAAATGCAATCTCCAATAAGGTGTTGACATTTACCAAATTAAGCAGGTGCCTTCTGTGCATTGAATGAGAAAATAACTTGGGCAGGCAACCCAGAGTTAAACCCCATGATTAATTCCCTGGTGAGGTGCATCTGCAGCCTGGGGTAGCACCTGAGTTTGGGACAGCACCACTGCCAGATTTCTAAATTCAGCCACATTTGCACGTTGTGCTGCACTCAGCTGGGCAGGCAGTCACTCCTCTGTCCTCCATGGAAATTTGTATTTGAGTGCACAGCTCTGAGGTCCTGGGCAGATGCATTTGTGCAGGACTTGCAGCACAGCAATCAGTGCTAGATATCAAATGTTTGATCCATTGAAATAGTGGGCTTGTTATTTCAGTAGCTCCAGTATTTTGCTGCAGCTTTGCAAGACACAAATCAAGCACTGAACAGCAGTGAATCTAATCTGGTTTGCTGTAATAACTTTAGAGATAATCCTGCTGCTGGAGAAGTTCACAGCCAGTACTTAACAAATATGATGGCGAGTAAATACCCTCCTTGGCCAGTTTTAGTCCATGTTAGCATACTAAATTTAAAAATTCTAACATATCTGAGAGAAAACATTGAAAATTCAACAATAGAAAAAGAGTCAGGACAGAAGGTTGATAAGAAGATGGAGAGGATAAAATAAAGCTGAAAAAGCTCTAGACAAAAGCAACAGTGGGAAAGCATTTTTTCAGATAAAGAAATTAAGATACTAATATAAAGTAAGTGCAGGCACACCATCAGACATCTCTCCAGCTCAATTTAGGTCTTAATCCTCTAATCAGAGATAGATGGCAAAGAGGAGACTTTTATTTCTGAGAATTTTACAGTTTTACCTTTTTAATTCTGATACATTAAATAGCCTGTAATACAGAGATTTCTGACAGGCAACAGAACACCTTGCATTCATCCAATTAAAACTGGAAAACTGCTCATAAATAAAAAGCATTTTATGACTCTTCCCACAGCCAGAACTCATGCAGGAAGTTCATACACTCACCAGGCTCCATCCACTGTCATTCACACATCATTTTATGGCAGAGAAGTGTTTCCTGTCTCAGCAGGTTATTGTTTAGTGGGCTAATGCTTATTAGCAAGATGAAATGCTATTGTGGAAGTTCTGTGTGGAAGCATGTTACTTGTGCAAAATAAAAAAAAAAGGCCACTTAAAAAAAAAAAAAAAAAAAAAAAAAAAAAAAAAAAAAAAAAAAAAAAAAAAAAAAAAAAAAAGCCCTGCTTAGCCTCCTGGTGATAGAGAAGGGCAACTTCAACTTCACCACGGATTTGAAGGGAGCTGCATCAGGCCCTGTAACTTTAGCCCTAAAAGCAATAGTATGCAATAACTGCTGAGGAAAAATCATCTTGCTGCTTTATTTTTTGTGTGATTTGTTAAACTGGAATATAATTTTGCCCCAAAAGAGTATCTAAACCTTATTTTATTTTCATCCCAGTGCTATTTGTGCATCATCTAATTGCAATGTCTTGCTCTCACAATTAAAAATAAAGTACATGATATTGTGAGAATACGTTTTATTTCTGTAATTCTGCGTCCCAAGAACAGTCTGTGACCTGGGGTTCTTTGTTGCTAGCTGGTGAATGAGCAACAGGAGAGCAGACCCCTCCTGAGCCCCTCCATTGATGACTTTCTCTGTGAAACTAAGCCAGAAGCTGTTGCAAGGCCTGTAACATCGAATACTGCAGGTAAACAATCTTCTTTACTACACCTCACTAGAGAAAAAAAGTTTTCGTTTTGGCTTCATTATGGCCCATTTTTGTCAAGTGATTTCTTGGTTTGTTACTCTCTGCACAAAACCGCAAGCTGGCATTGAATTTTAATTGCCTGACCTGTTAAAAGAAAAACTTTGTTAATTACATTTTAGGGGAAAACTGATGTGATTCAAATCACATAAATTCTAGCAGATCTTTGGGGCTGAAATCGATGCCATTTGTTTAAGTCCCACAGGATGTACATATGAGTCTGAATCAATTCTCTGTATTTGGTTTAGCACAATTTTACCTATGGGAAAACCCACATTTGGTCTTGGTTTAATCAAACACATTCCTTACTCTAGAAAGATTTTTTTTTAGTGAAATCTTGAATAAGATGTTGGAGAGAAAAAGGAGGGAGGTATCAAAATGTTTTATCCAGGCTGAGTTCAGACACTTTGTTAGTGAAAGGATTTAATATATTTCTTACCTTCTTTGTGTTGTAATGAGGTAGCAGAGAAGGTAGTAAAATCTAAGAGTGAATCCTGAAAACCTTTTGAATTATACCGAATTCTATTTGAAGTATATTGTCATTTGGAAGTATTTTTAGAAAACAACCCACACCTAGTCAGTATCTGTGCAGAGGTAATCGATGCTGCTGAGCAGATCAGCTGAGACAATAATATCAGCACTGCACTGCTGGGCTCTCTTCCTCTCTCAGAAAAGGACTTGGCTTGTTAGAAGCCAATTAATTAAAATTTATATCCATGCAAATTATTAAATGAATAATTGACAGCTGAATAATTATCTTCACATCAATTAATGCGTCTAAAGCAGCATGCAAGTTCTAGTGACAGAAACTGAAATGCTGAATTAAATAAAAATTGTAAGTAATGCTTTTTCCCTTTAAGCGATATAGCTGAAGATATTACAGGGATGAATAGAATTATTTCAGATTGTTCAAGAATGGTGCTTGTTTTTGTACCTGTAAATTTTACACCTGCTTTGAATATCTATCAGATTGGGGTGGGGAGGTTAATTAGATTTATTTAATAATAAAATAAAAAAAATTCTATGAAGACTGATGAAATTCAATGATTTCCAAGAACGTAGATAAAGCACTGCAAGAGGTAATGCAAACTGATTTTTCAAAAACACCTGCTCTGTAACATGCTGATAAAAAAGGAATTTTTCTACCTTTTACATGCTAAAGAATTGTGAATATTACTCTTTAGGCAAATTTTAAAAGAAGAGCTGAAATGGAACATTTCTTTCGTACTGATACAGTCCTTAATAGAAATGGCATTAGACTTTGTATTTAGTAGTTATGGCCCAAAGGACAAACACCAACAACAATAGAAAATAACATTAATAAACCTGTTCATTGGTTTTTGACCCAGGTCCACTCCCAGAGCTATTCTCAAAAGAATTGTGGCACAACAACACTGCCCTAAGCAGCTGTTACCAGGACTTTAAAGATCGAAGAATAAATCAAATATTTTCTAAAGGCTCAATTGAACAGGGAGCCCTCACAAAAAAGGAAAACCTGTGAAGACCCCAGATGTCTTTAAGATTTTCAGATTAAAAGCTTTTTTTGCAAATCCACTAAACTACATTCAGTTAAGCACTTGAAATCCCCAGGCATATTTTAATATACTGGTCATCATCTTTAGCCAGGAAATACACACTCACTCTAACCAAATGCAAACACAGCAATAATTTTTTCCCCAGTTAAAACGAAACTTTAGAAGTGAGCTATTTGAATTAAAACAACACTGAATTTTAACATTTTGTCTCTAAGTATTATCAACAGGTCTGGATCTCTTGGATCTTAGTGAACCTGTCTTACAAACCCAAAACAAAGCAAAGAAATCAGAGAATCCTTCAAGAACTGAAGGCTTAAAAGCTTCAACCCACAGAAAGAAGACAGAGAATCCTGACCTGATCAGTGTGGATTCTGAGCAGAAAGTCCAGGCTGGCAGAGTTGCAGACAAGTCTTCTCTAGATTTAGGTAAGAGTGCAGCTGTTTTATCAGTGCTCCCTTGCCCTGCTTAGCTCCTGGCTACTATCACAAAATAATGAGCAACACCAGAATTTTGCTGCACCACGTTTCAGCAGTGTAGCCTTTGCTCCCCATTATAAACTACCCAAGGCCCTTTAAACCTCAAACACTGTCAACACATTTTACATTTTGCCTCTGCCATTATGCCTATTAAGTTGACCCTAAGTGTGCTAATAAAGTTTTGAAACTTCTTTGGAAAAGGAATTTAGTCAGGGTGTGTAAAATGGTAGAAAAATCTGTAGGGGTGTGATGAGAAATTGGTAAAGGACACAAATGAGAGGCAGCCCATATTGATGCCCTTTTCAGAACTGCAGGTGTCAGAAATGCACATTTATGTTTGTAAATAATGCTTTATCTATGCATAGTAGAGAAAAAAAAAATCCATTCTTGACAAGAAAGATATATTTATACAGACTAAAAAAAAAATCTCCAAAACAACTCAATTTCCTGCCAAGCCTGATCTATCGACAAGCTTTGGAAAAGGTGAATTTGATTTAGTTCCATCCAAACTAAATTACTTGCAGTGCAACTGAGAAATTTGCAAGGTAAATGTAATTTATACCAAGGCAGCAAATTTTCCATTCATCATCACAGAAATTCTTTCAGAGACCTTTATCTTCAAACAGGAGCTGAACATCTGATCTTTGCAAAGTGAGTCTGACATGACTGAATAACACCAGTTGCCTACATAGTCATTTTTACATGTTAGTCTCTAAAAGAAGCTTCATTTTTACAATTTGTTTAAATTACATACAAATCACTGATTTTAAGTCAAGAGTTACACTGACATTCTGACCATGAATGCTAACAGATTCAGAAAAATGCTGTGAATTTCCAAATATTTTCACACCATATCAACTAATATTTTTTTATGTTGGACCATTATTAAAATATAGGCTTTGGTGGCAATATTTTCTCTATAAAACCCATTTAAAAGAGAAGATAAAATTCTCAGCAGTAGTTTCTTTAAAAGATTCATATTTATTTTTCATTTTTCAGTTGATATTCAGACACAGATAGAGAAATGGGATGATGCCAGTTTTCATGGAGACAGGAGTAGCAAGGTCCACCCTTCTGCAGAGAGAACATCATCATCATCCAGAGCTCCATCAAAAGAGATTTTATGGTACAACTTTTTGCTTTCCTTAAAAAAAATATTTCCAGCCCAGGTTTCTTAATTCACAGAAATACTTGCTTGATAACAAATCATAATTTTAAACCTGTTATGGTGACATTAAATGTGTTCAAGCACATATTTTTGACAATGTATCATAAGCAAGTGCACTATAAAATGCCATTTTGCCAGTAATTTTTAATGTTGTAGAAAGTAGCAGGTGCAATTACTTAATAAAGGGTGGTGAGAATCCTACAGGGACATGCAGTGCAATCCTTTATTGTGGTGGTTGATTTTTAGACACTGACTGAGGCACAGACTTGTGTCTTTGTCTAGCCTCAGTTTCCCTGTCAATGAAATAGAAGAGTGAGAACATAAAGAAGGGTCCAGGCAATTTTGATTACTGCAAGTTAAACAATTCAGTTGAAAGAAATAGCCTGATTAATCACTGTGTGCTTGTGAACCTGAAAGACATTCGGCAGCCTGTCCCAGTGCTGAGTGTGTAAATGCATTATTTCCAGGTCCACAGAAAACAGATCACAGTCTGAGCTGACCAATGTCAAGAGTGCCTTGGACTCTGATTCAGCATCAGAATTAGAACTTGCACCTGCAATACAGGTAAGAGGATTTGGTAGGTTTATTAACCATAAAAAGGCAAGGAGTGACTTCCCACTGGCTAATCACTGACATCCTGGGAGAACTGTTCAAGGGATATTTTCAGGATCATTAGAGAAAATATCTTCACACACCTCTGAAATGAATAGGTTATGAAATTGAATATGTCAGCCCCCGAAACATTCAGAGTTTAATGCTGCAGTGAACTGTGGCCTTCCTGTACAGAGGGAAAAACTTCACACTACCATTTACAGCACTATCTTTTTTCCCTCACCCCAGTTCTGAAATTCAGACTTGTAGTGGTTCCCCACCCATGCTAAATTCTATCCTTGAGGTCTCTTGGTCAGGCAGGAGCCCCAGAAGTGGGAAATTGCTGAGGAAAGCAGGGAGCAATGGTTACAGCAATGCTCATTAGCAGTTTATCTCCACAGGTGGGGGAGCAGTGTGGTCACAGGACTTTTTCCTGCTGGAAAAGGAACTCTAATACGGAGGGCTCTGGGCTAAAGGTTTGTAGATTTGCCCAATTCCACTGTTGTATTGTGTCTTGGACAGGTCTTGTTGGAAATTATTACTGAGGGTTGCATGTATGTATGCATGCACAGGTACAGGGATATACAAGCACATTTATATGTGTATTCTGATAGATCAGGTTGTTCACACACCTTCTTTGCTGCTTCTTACTTTTTAACTGGAAGACTTCAGCCATTGCCACTGGAAGGGGGAAGAGAGAGTTTTCTGATGGATTAGCTTTTAGTTAAAAATAATTTTCTCGCCTCCCACAGCTATTTTTAGTCTTGGACTTCAAAAACCTTCTGTCAGATAGAAAATCTGGAAATTAATGAAAAATAATTGCCTCATTTGAAAATGGAAAAATGAAAAAAATAGATACTACTTGCCAAATGTATATCCTGAGATAATATACCTTTTTTTTTTTCCCCAGAAACTAGAAACAGAACCCAGTTATCAGATCCATTTTTGGGTTTCTCTTAGGCAAAAACATGTTCTTTACTTCACTGCCATCTCTACATTACAAGCAAGGTTTTTTCCCCTCTGGAACGCCTCACACTAGTTGTGATGCATGATATCTTCCCTTTCTCTGCAATAGACTTGTACATCTTAGTAATGGAAAATACTATTACACAGTGCCATCCACTTGAAATGGATGATGTGTTCTCATGTGCTTTGAGATCATATTGAAGCACTTCTGACCCTCTTTTAGGAAGCTGCTTCTCAGCCCAGCAAATCTAAATTCCAGGACATTTGTGCTCAACCAAGACGTGTGTTAGCCAAGTAGACAGTCACAGGATTTAAATGCTGTGGCTTTCTGTAAAAGCAATTGCAAGTGCAGGGTATTTCTACTTGGTCTATTAGGTCTATTTCCTTTTTCTCTTCCACTAGAATAACTGCAGAAGCAAAAATCCACATTTTTCACTCAGTTTAAATTCAGTCAGTTGAGGCTCCATAATGTTTTTTAAAATGACTATTACTTCAAAATAAAAAAAAAATAATGAAGTTGAATAAGCCAACTTGAAAAAAGAGCAGAGACTAGATTTCTTATCTGTTGTCTTGGTACATTCCATGTTTTGTTGTGGTTTGTCGTAGCCTGCTTGTTTCAAACTTGTCGTCCGTTTGAGCAACAAAGTGTTAAAGTGGTAATTATTAATGCACAGAAATGACCTGAAGTGAGATTGTATTCTCATGCTAGGTAGGTTACTCAGATATGTGGTTTTGTTCACTGCCTCCTTCATCCTGCTCGTACTTGGGCTGTCAGAGTTGTCAGCTCCCAACACTCAGGCTCATCTGTCTTGACCGAGTTCTTAATCTGCTTGCAAAAGAAATCACATTAGAGCCTTTATCAAAGCATATGTCTTCCATACTTTGTCCTCTATAGGTCTTGTCTATCTCATTTAAGGGTAGCCTTTGCAAATGCAACACATTCTGCCATACCCTAAAGATTTCATCTTGTCAAACTTGCTGCAGTTTTCCATCAGCAGTTTCCCAATCACCTCATCACTCATCTTTGACATGTTAGATTTAGCTCCTCAGAGTGAAATGTCAAGTAACTAGGTCATATTTTCATTAAAATTATGCAATCTTCTTAACAAAATCCTTTATTTACCAGCACTTTTGCCAATACAAATTCCAAAAGACAAGCTTTGAACTACAAGGGAGAAATGTGAAGGCTGCAATGGGCAGTGGTCACTGGTGGCTGTCACTGGATGTGGCTGTCTTGCTTCTCAGCATTTACTCACATCATATTTTACATATTATTAACTCTTAAACTATACTGGCCCAAAGTACCCTTGTTCTTTCTTTTATCTGTCATTCTGAAAAGTTCCTTGTTATGCTTTTACTGGTACTGAGATGTCCTACAGTGTCTGGGGGAAGGGGGGGATTTTGAAGGGCTATTTTAATCTTAAAATTATAAACTGTAGAGGAAGAGAATATGTTCCATTTTCTTCATGAAGTCTGTTCATGTTTTAACTTTTTAAATAAATATTTTCCTGGGCATTTTAAATATTTCATTGCTCACAGAGTATACAAAACCCCTGACATGCTAAAAATCTGTACCTAATTCTATTATGTCAGTGCTCTTAGACAAAGGTATAGTGCAAATCTTGCAAAACTTAAAAATCTCCAGTTTGAGGCAAGAGTATTTAGCATGTGAAATTAATTGCCCACTTCTCCCAAATAATCACAGAAAGACTAATGGCCCTAACTTCCCTTGGATGTGCCACTTATTCTAAGGAAATGAAGAGTTACAAGGGGCAGATTTAGTTCATTATTTGAAGACTTGATCAAAAGTTAGGATAATTTAAGCCTCTCACCAATAAAGTCCAACAGCACATAAGGAGAATACAAGTGCAGGAAAGTGTGTGCAAATGCATTGGAAGGGAAGGGTTTGTCCCTGAACACAGAAGCCACGATCAGCTCCAGCACCTGCACTGTAGAGAGGGGAGAACCAAACCTGGGCAGTGTCCAGCCCTGGGCACAGCCTGGCCCACCTGGGCAGCTGCAGAGCCCCACCCCATCACCTGCTGCAGCTCTGGAGCCCTCCAGGCTGCCCCTCCATTCCCACCCCCTCTCCCTGGACCAGCAAATTTGGGGTTTTTTAAGAGGCTTTTCATTTCTGGGTGTCACAACCCACAGGGCAGCTCTGCATTGCCCTGTGTGCAAATGCAGCTGATGTGGCTTTTGTAATGTTCATTTAATGGAGGGGGAAGTCTGTTTCTGTGGGGATGATGTGGGGACAAAGTGTCACTGGCAGAGGAGGGGACCTCTGCTTCTTGTCCTCTGCCCCCTCACCCTGCCCTTCTGCAGTACAGCTGAGGCTGAACATCCTCATTTACAGCACTGTCCTTGACCTGAGGAATGGCAGCCACTGGAAACAAATGGGTAAAAAGCAGAAGTAATCAAGCTGTTTGCAGGAGCCAAGTCATACATAATGAAAAGGCCAGGAACATAATTAGAGCCTATCAATAGAGTCCTGTGTCAAGAAAAACAAATTTAATTCTTTGATCGGATTACAGGTCGAGTTGATAAATGTTGATGTCTGATCTTCTACAAGAGTTCTGAATTAATATGTCATATTCTGATTGTAAAATTGGCACAACACGTTGTGAATAAAGCAGTTGTTAAACAGATTAAAACTGGCCAACCTGAGTTCTCAGGAGCAGTAGTTATTTACTAGGAATTGTAATCACATAGGGATTGTTCTGGGATTCCAAAGACAAACAATGTTCTTCATTGTTTGAAGAATGAAATAAACATGCAAGCAAATCCCTCAGAGAATTTCCATATGATGCAA